GACAATGAAAGTCTATACTGTTATATATAAATGTACTATATATATAGTTGTATAGTATATAAATATGCTATTAAAACTATTATTTCTTTTAATAACTTCATACCAATAATTTTCTTGACTAAATAATTTTAAAATTTCATTAATAACTGAAATGGACTCAAACTGTCACACGATTGATTTATATTTTCATTGACATTTATTTCAGGCATTTAAAATTCTTAACATAACATACTCCTTTGTTAATTATACTTAATTAAACTTACTTGCACTTTGGTCCAGCTTTTTCACCAACCTTCAAAAAATTTTCATAATTAATCATTGCTTCCTCTCCAATCATAGGTGGTGTCTGGTGCTTATCCAGCAAAAACCATAAGTTCTTAGGAGAAGTTCAGAAATGAAGATGTTACAGTTAACAAAACAAAATTTAACATCAGCTAAATGTGTTATTTCCATTAAAATGATAGTCTGATAGCAGAGATTTAATATGAAGATGAATCTCATTCCCTATTATCCTTTTGATTACTAATAACATAATACAAATAGCTAGTGTTTATTGAATGCCCAAGTTTAAAGTTTTCATATATGGTACCTCTTTATTTTTTAAAGGTTTTTTTTTTTTATTATTGCGTACAATTAGTGAACACATAGTACACATCATTAGTTTCTGATGTAGTGTTCAACGATTCATTAATTGCATATAACACCCAGTGCTTATCACGTGTCCTCCTTAATACCCATCAGCTGGTTAATACCCTCCCCCCATGGTACCTCTTTAATTCATATAACTATGTGATGCAGATAGATACTGTTATCCCTACATAACAGATGAGAATTGAAGCACAGAAATGTTAAGTCCATTGCCCAAGGTCACAGAGCATGGCTAGGATGTGAACCCCCAAAGTTTGACCCTATAGTAGTAGTTCTCAACTTTGGCCTCATATTAGAATCACCTAGGGACTTAAAAACATAACCAAAAAAACACCCAGATCTTGGGGAGACGGTGCCCAGGCAAGCTCTGCAGCTGATTTTGGCAGGAATCATTGCTCCAGGGCCTGTGCATTCACCCACTCTGCAGCAGTGGCTCCATTAAGACACACTGAGATCCTGTAGGACTTTAGTACAAATAAAGAAATGGCTAACATCCAAAGCAACCTTTAATCCTATTCTTACCTGTAATTCTTCATTATCTAACAGTTCTCTGCTTTTCCTCTGGAGAAAGACAGCTCTGGATTCCTCTCTTAATTTTTGTAGTAAGACTTCATCTTCAGCTGGCAGCTAAAAATACACTAGAGTTAATTTCTACACTTAAATTCTAGACTATTATTGGATTATGTAAAATATATTTGGCCTCATAAAATTTCTACATTATTGCATTGCCTCAAATTACTTTTTGTATCTCAGTTTTGCTTAACTTCAAGTTATCATTCATTTAAAAAGTTCATTTAACAAAAAGAGATCCACAGAGAATTCAAAGTTCAGCAAGGCCAGATCCCTGCCTAGAAAGAACTAATGGTCTAGCCCAAGTTTCATTTTATATTCTTAGAGTACTCTTTCCACTATAACCTTAGACTGACATAGAATTAAATAAGACTGACTGAAGATACATGGTCTTAGCAAAGTATGCCTTTTGAGCTTGAATGACGTTACTTCTTGGAGATGGTCAAGCCAAGGTCTACTATGTTCACCTCCTAGGCAGAGGGTCTGCCCGCTGGGGTGATTTCCATAAACAGGGCTTTAAAATGACTCATTCCAGCTCAACCTCAAACAATTTGCTTCGAGGATTTCTTCTTGGTCGTCTATATCTCTCCCCATTAAATGTAGCTAAGTAACCACAGTCCAAATCAGTTCTTTCATTTCCAAGAACTAAGATGCCATCCCTCCCATCAAAAGGAATGGAAAAGGAGGAAGCATAGGAGGTAAGGCTGGGGCTGAGACTGTGATCCTGCTCCAGTGGCTAGTCAACAAGCTAATCAGCCAAGGAGAAGTGGTAACCAAAGATGGTAGGTGGTTTCTCCAAAGCAGTGAGAAGACAGAGAAGAAATAGAGAACATCCCACAAATCCACGTCTGCAGACAGGAAACCATGTGGGATCTAGAAGAGGTCACAGAGAGAAGGAAGAGACAGAAATGGGGAAAAGGGAATTCCCTCAGGAACCACAGGGGAGAGCAAAAGGTTGGTACTGGAAGTACAGGAAAGTTGAGTCCTTGGTTCAGAAATGGGGTCATGTCAACATCTAAGGGCTGTTTCTGGATAAGATACTATTTCATAATCCTGATTAAATGAGATCATGAATATAAAGTGCTCTGAAGTACATCAACACTCAATAAACATCAATTCCCTTCCTGCTCCCCCAGACTATCAAAAATTTTCAGTTGTGTAGTGGACTCCATTTAAGAAAGTGTGAAATGCATAAAGCGGGAGAAGTCCGTATGAAATGATCCCATTGTTACTAAATACACGTGTACACAAAAGTATGGAGAAGGAGTCATGTAGAAATATTTATTTACATCTCTGTGCAATGTTATGGGAAAATATCAGCTGTTTTTTCTCTTTTCCATGACAAACATGGATTAGTCACAGAATTCTTTTTTTTTTTTTAAAGATTTTATTTTAAAGTAACCTCTACACCCAACATGGGGCTGGAACTCACAACCCCAAGATTAAGAGTCACATGCTCTAATGACCCTGGGGCAGCTAGGCGGCCCTAGTCATATAATTCTCAAAAGACTGGGAAACAGTATTACAGAAAGGTTTCCAATAAAAATGGTTCACTTGGAAAAGGTTTGTACTTGAAGAAATGTTACAACTATCTAGATAATTCACTTATATTAATACATTGCTCCTAAATGGAAGTAAAACAATGTTTACTTTCTTTGTAAATAATGTTATAATTGAGTTTAGAAGGTAGCAAGTTTAAGAGACATTCAGCTAAAATTTCAGTTAACTTTTCTATAGTGGTCACATTTTACATAATACTAAATAGGTCTTATTCTTTTCAGTAGCCTTCAATTTCAGCTGTAAGTAGCTTTCTTAAGGTCTTCCTGTCTTCTATAATCTCTTTCAAAGACTTCTTTATGGTTTCAGCACAAGGAAAAATAAGTATAACTCTTCAAGTTTTCCATTTTAATCTATTTTTCAGTTTAACCTTGAGCAAAATGTATTACACCTTAGAACATGGATAAAAGACAAAGTTAAAAATGGTGATCAGCCAAGTAAACCTAAGTTTTATAAAAAGCCTGATACATGATCCAACAGAATAACCACTACTAATATCCGTAAGAAAAAACAGGAAGGAAAAGCCTATAACTCAAAGGGGGCCAAGTAACAACTTTGTGTTCTTATACCAATTTATATCAAAACTTGAGATTTTATCAATTCCAAAACAATAAGATCAACTACAATGAAAGAATATATAAAATTTAAAATATAATCTCTATTCATTTATATAAAAGAGTCTGATCCCATTTTAAAAGTTAACATTTCATTTATAAACTCCCTGAGACATTTGCTTAGATACCACTTACCCTGTAATAAAACCGGGGTATGGTCTTATAGAATTCATTTGTGTTTTTTCTATCCCCTTTCCATTCTGAGTAGTATTTGGTAAACAAATCCATTTCTTCATCTTTTAATTCTTGTTCACTTCTTTTTTCTGGTAACAAAATAGATTAAAAGGGGAAAAGCACTTTCAAAATCAATATTTTTACTTACTCGTTTTTTTAGTGAGAGAGAAGAGGGGGAAGGGGAGAGAGAGAGAGAGAGAGAGAGAGATAATCTTAAGCAGGCTCCACACCCAGTGCGGAACCCAACATGGGGCTCAATCTCACGACCCTGAGATCATGACCTGAACCAAAATCAGGAGTTGGACGCTCAAACTGACTGAGCCACTCAGGCACCCCTTAAAATCAGTATTTTTTACTATAGGGTATTTACAGTGCAAAAAAGACATTCAAAATTGTGCTTATACACTGAATATCTATATTAATTTTCTTGAAACACCAAGAATCGAAAGAGCCTCCCCTGCATCTTCAACCACATCTTAGTTGCTCCCTCTCCTTTTTATCACTATACTTGTCTCTTCCTCAAGTCACTGTCTCTCTTACGGACTTCTGGCATGCTCCTGATTCATTCCATCAAAAGTACTTACTGAGCACCTACTATGTATAGAATACTGCTAGACTCTGGGGCTACTGTGGTGAGAAAACAGACGCAGCCCTTGACCTCATGAAGTTTCGGCTTTGCAATTCCTGTTCCTCTACCTAATGGAAACCCCTTCCCTCTCAGGCTGCTTTTACCCTCCAGCCCGCCTACTGCTGGCCTACAGCTGTCTCATTCAGTCACACTGTTTACTGACCACAGCAACTGGCGTACAGTGTTCTTCAGCTCAAGGTCCTCTAATTGTCAAGGAAGGATAAACGTTTATGAGTAACTGTGACCCCTCATCTCTGAAGAGGGGTCACCTCTGTCACTCGGTTCCATGGCAAGATCACAGGTCTTATCTGCTCCTAAATATACTAAACTTAAATATACTCTCAGATAATTTTTCTCCTTCTGGTTATTCAAAACCTGCCATAATACCTACACTTCAGCCCTCACTGAAATCTTCAAATCTGTGACTTATTTTCTTGATCGTTTATTTTCCTCTTCCTGGTCTCACTTCCTTCCAACGTACCTATAGCTGTTCCCCTAAACCTCTCTTATGCCTGCATTTCTGCCACATGTGCCATGTTAATTTTTAACCTTAGGCCACACTGTTGATTCTCTTATTTTCTGGCCATTTCTTTTTTGTTAATCTTTCTTCCTCATTTCAATTTTTGTAGTTTGACTTCTGAGTCCCAAATGTCACTAACCCAGACAGTGCTTTTGAACTCTAAACTCACACATTCAAAACAAAATATTTTCATCCTCACCCAACATATCTAAAATAATCTTCCCATCCCTCACCTTACTATTCTTCTAATTCCATATTTCTCTCCCAATTACTGGTATTCATCCAGTCACCCAAGCCCAAATCCCAGGAGTCATTTTCATGATTTCACTCATTCTTTTTCATTCAACTATTCTAGGGACACACAATTATCTGTATGGGTGGACGTGTGCACATGTGTCCATACCTACATACGACTTTCAACAGAGTGTCAGGGAAAGCCTCACTGAGATGAAACTGAGCAAAAAAACTGAAGAAGGCAAGGAAGCAGGTTATGCAGATAAATGGGGAAGTGCATACCAGGCGAGGACACAGCCAGCACCAAGGCCTGAAGACAGGAGCGTGCCGGGTGTATACGGGAAGAGGGAGGCAGCCAGTACGCCTGCAGCGGAGTGAGCCAGAGGAAAGAGTAGATGAGGGAAGGCAGATCATGGGAGTCAAGGCCACTAGGTCATTAGAAAGACCCTGGCTTTTACTCTGGTGAGGGAGAGAGCCACCAGCAGTAAGTAGGAGGCTAATGCAGTCATCCAGGTGACAGATGGTGATGGCCTGGATCATGGTGGCTGCAACGGAGGTGGTTAGGAGTAAATATTCTGGATATATTTTCTTAGTCTCAGGATCTGCAGACACACTGCATGTGGGTATCGGAGAAAAAGAGCAGTTGAAGATATCTCCAAAGGTTTTGACCTGAGCAGATGGGGAAAGTTACAAGTGAGCAAGTTAGAAAGGATACCAGGAGTTCAGTTTTGGACAAGTTAAGATTAAAATACCTATTAGAACCAAGTGGCCATGTCAAGTAGGCAGTTAGACATATGAATCTGGCATTTGGATTTAGGAGACAGAAGGAAATACACAGTATTTAAAGCCATAAGAATGGCTAATTTCACCATGAAGGGGAGTGTAGATAGAGAACAGAAGCTGACCAAGAACTTACTTAGCTTTGGGCCCTCCAATGCTAAGTTGTTGGAGAGAAGAAAACAAACACTGAGAACGGAGGACTGGTGGGGTGGGAAGAAAACTAAGGGAGTACGACTCCCAGAAACCAAGAGAGGAAAGTATGTTTAGGGGGAGAGTGAACTATCATATCCCCGGCAGGGACTGGCAGCAGGTCAAGGAAAGTGAGGACTAAAAACTGACCACTGGAACAACAATGGAGATCACTGATGATCTTAACAAGCAGTAATTACAGCACAGATTTAATCAACAATTCTTTTAACAAGCATTGCTGTAAGGGGAGCAATGAGGCTTAGCTAGAGGTAGAAGTTAAGACAAAGTTTCTCTAGGATGAGAGAAATACCACCATGTTCATACACTGATAGGGATGACTGAGAAAGAAAAACTGATGCAGGACAGAGGGGGACAACTGCAGGAATACATCTTTGAGTAGCAAACATGGGATCTAGCACACCAATGAAGAAAACAGCCTTAAATACAAGTTGTACAACCAAAACGATTTACTTATTAATCATCTCTCCCAACACTTCAGCTTAAGTTCCACGAGGACAAAGACTTTTGTCTGTTTTGTTTACTGCTATAGCCTAGAACAGTGCTTGACACATAACAGGCATGCAATGGAGTGGGTATTTACCCCAAAGATACAAATGTAGTGATCTGAAGGGGCACCTGCACCCCAGTGTTTATAGCAGCAATGTCCACAATAGCCAAACTATGGAAAGAGCCCAGATGTCCACTGACAGATGAAGATGAATGGATAAAGAAGATATGGTATATATACACAATGGAATATTACACAGCCATCAAAAAATGAAATCTTGCCATTTGCAATGACGTGGATGGAACTAGAGGGCATTATGCTAAGTGAAATAAGTCAATAAGAGAAAGACAATTATATCTCACTCATATGCAGAATTTAAGAAACAAAACAGGAGATCATAGGGGAAAAGAGGAAAAATAAAACAAGATGAAACCAGAGAGGGAGACAAACCATAAGAGACTCTTTTTTTTTTTTTAAAGATTTTATTTCTGTATTTGAGAGAGAGAATGAGATAGAGAGAGCATGAGAGGGGGGAGGGTCAGAGGGAGAAGCAGACTCCCTGCTGAACAGGGAGCCCGATGTGGGACTCCATCCAGGGACTCCAGGATCATGACCTGAGCCGAAGGCAGTCGCTTAACCAACTGAGCCACCCAGGCGCCCACCATAAGAGACTCTTAATCATAGGAAACAAACTGAGGGTTGCTTGAGGGGAGGGAGATTGAGGGATGGGGTAACTGGGTGATGGACATTAAGAAGGGCATGTGATGGGGCGCCTGGGTGGCTCAGTCGTTAAGCGTCTGCCTTCGGCTCAGGTCGTGATCCGGGGGTCCTGGGATCGAGCCCCGCATCAGGCTCCCTGCTCAGCGGGGAGCCTGCTTCTCCCTCTCCCACTCCCTCTGCTTGTGTTCCTCTCTCGCTGTCTCTCTCTCTGTCAAATAAATAAATAAAAATCTTTAAAAAAAAAAAAAGAAGGGCATGTGATGTAATGAGCACGGGGTATTATATAAGACCGATGAATCACATATCTGCACCTCTGAAACCAATAATACATTACATCTTAATTAACTGAATTTAAATAAAAATGTTTAAAAAAATAAAGGAAATATACTTCAATAGAAATACTTTTTTGATGGCAAAAAAAAAAGTGAAGAGGAGAAAGTACAAATACAGGTGACTTTTTTGATAAGTTTTCCTACAAGAAGTGCAGAAAAATGCAGCAAAAGCTGGAAGGAGATGTGAGATGAAATGATTTTTCTTACATGGAGTATATTACAGCATGTTTGTCAGAGCTGATGGAAATGATCCTGTAGAGAATGAAAATTTGATGATATATGAGACAGAAGATAAGAACAGAGTGAAATCAGTGAATAAAAGGGAACGGGATCTGCTGTTGGACTGGAGGAACTGAATCAAATAGGAGCATGGACAGTTCATTTTGAACAGTAAAGGCAGAGTTTATGGGCATCTATGGTGGTGAAAGGGCTGATAGAAATGGTAAGTGGGAACAGGTGAGGTTTTTCTTTGCTTCGACTTTCTCAAATATATACATAAGTTTATCAACTGAACATAAGGAATAGATAGCACATACTGGAGAACTGGAGGTCTGGAAGATGAGAACTGCCTTAGAGTGTAGGAGAATGAATATCTAGGGAAACGCGGAATATGTGTAAATGAAAAACTGAAACACTTTAGGTTAGTGGACATGAATTCAAAGTGACACCATTTACCATGGTTCCGTTTTTCTCCAGCCACTTTTGGCTGCCCTGAGGGCACGTGTGGAATAAGAAAGAGTTTTAACCAGGCTGGTTAACAAGCAAGTGTGAAGGAGGAGGAAAAGAATAAGGAAAAATAGATGATTAAATCTAAAATGGATAAGGAGGGAAGTCAAAAGTGTGTTAGTAAAAAGGCGTTGTAGTAGGATCGAAGGTTGTAGTAGGATCGAAGAGTTGTTGGAACCGGGGTTCTCAATTATCCCTCAAAAGCCTTGGTCAAGGCCACGTAAGTGAGTGCTAAGATAAGCTCTTCATTCCCGCAATCCTTTTCCCGGGAAGTGTGGGTCAAACCTCTCAGTATCCCTAAATCACGTCCCCTCTGCCTTTGTCAAGAGAGCTTTTATAGAAGCGGAAAGTGCGGCTCCCAGTAGCTGCTCGTCCCCGATCTCCCCCTACCTCCAGAGTTTAGGGCCGACCTATCTCCGCGAGCAGTCCCTCCCAAACTCACTGTTGGTACTTGTGCTGGGCGTCGCTAACCGCCGGCGAAGAATTTCTTTCCAGTCCATGGCTGACTCCCGCGCAACAGCTTCTGCATTTGCTGTTTACTAACCGCTCCACCCCCTACTAGCTCAGACTGCAATCACCGCCCAACCCCGTAAAGGTCAGGAACGCTCAACCGCCATCTTGGACTTGGGCGGAAGTCGGCTAACCGGCAAAAAACCCATTACAGCTACTGCGGAGAATACAGCGATCTTGTTAACAGCGAGGAAAGCCGACTTGAAACAGATGGAAGAATGATCCTCTGTAAGGCAGCGCCCAACTTCACCAAGTCCAATTTTAAAGGTGCAGGATAAGGAAGCCCCCGTTTTTCTTTCTTTAACTTGGGACTTTGGCGCGTGTGTACCACGTGATTCAGGAGTCCTATGGCGTTTCCGGCCCGAGGAAGAGCTTTTTTTGCTTCACAATTTCTTTTCATTGCTCACTGCGGATATCTAAAGGCCCTAAAGTTTCCCTGAACATAGCAGACGTTTTCAACAGCCCCTTTTGCCACTAACATCTTCAAACTTGTCTTTTTATCTTTGTCAGGCCTGGCGGAACGCCTCCGTGAGGTTCAGCCACGCCCCGGCGCCGGGGCCCTCGCGGTGCGTTGTGGGCGCGGTAGTTCGGCCGTGCTTATGGTTGCCTTAAGCGTGAGTGCTGAGGTGAGTTGGTGAATCGAGTGAACTTCGTTTATGATCGGTCGGTACACGGCCGGCATTGCCCTTCGTGGACCTTCCTTCCTTACCTGAATTGTCAGTTCGGCTCTCTCCCCACCTCCGCCGCCCTCATATCATCACCTGACGCGTTTGGCGGCCTGGGAAGATTGTTATGCCGGCCCAGGGTCCCTAGATTTTGGCTTTCGTCGTTGTCCATGCTGCTCCTAGGTCTGGGTTTGGGGACACCTGGTAGCCGTTTTCGACTTTGCGTCCCTCCTTCAGCAAGGCTCCCATGGGATCCTAACTCTTTTTCAAGGGATGTTGTGATCCACGCGAATCAAACTGGACGGACCTCCTTGTGCTTTTTCCTCAGGTTCACAGATTGGAATATATCAGGCACCGGAGGATTCCTGCCCTGTCGCCGGGTTCTGAGACTTGCGACCGAGGTCGGATGTCCCCGGATGGTTGTTAATGGAGAGAACTCAGCAGGCTTCGTTGTATTAAGTAGCGTCAAAAGCAGATCCTTGATTTGTCTGTGAGAAACTGAAAATCATCTTTTAAGAAGTTGTGCTTCGATTCTCCGCCCACACTCCCAATTCCTTAATTATGCTGCAGAAGTAGGGGCTTTTTTAACATCTCTCTATTTGGTGCTGATCTCACTGCATGATGACTTTCTGTTTCACTGGTATTCGAAGCTTTCCTAAGCTTTGGAAGAACAACCCATACCTTGGCCTAAGCCCAGGACACTCTTATCTCTCTCTCTTTCTCAAAGACTGTTACGGCATCTGGAACCAACAGAAGTGGTTTTCTCTTAAAACAGTGTCTGCACAAAATACTAAAGCAGTGAATCTGCTGACTGCCAAGGCCAGATATCTCAGGAAAGGAGATGAAGGCAGTAATAAGCAAGTTTCTTCTGATTCCCATCTTTTTGCAGCTGGAGCAGCTAAGAAGAGATCAGAGATGAATCCTCATAAGGAAGATCATGCCTTGCCACCTGTGAGGAGCACTATTCAACTCCCAACAAAACCTTTGAATTCAGAAGAGTGGGATAAACTCAAGGAAGATTTCAAAGGAAAGGCTAAATTTGAAAGTTGGATCATTTCTCAAATGGCCCACTCCCATAGCTCTGTAGATGTGGCCAAATCTCTGTTAGCCTGGGTAGCTGCAAAAAACAATGGTATTGTAGGCTATGATTTGCTGGTCAGGTATTTGTATCTCTGCGTCTTTCATAAGCAGACATCGGAAGTTATTGATGTCTATGAGATCATGAAAGCCAGATACAAGAGATTAGAATCTGAAGGGTATACTCTCCTCATCCAGGGATTAGTCCACTCAGACAGATGGAAAGAGGCCTTGCTGCTGTTAGAGGATGTCAAAAAAGTCATGATCGCTTCAAGAAAGAACTACAATGACTGTATAGAGGGAGCCCTTCTTCATCAAGATGTAAACCTAGCTTGGAATTTGTATCAGGAATTGTTAGGTCATGATCTTATTCCTATGCTGAAAACTTTAAAGGCATTCTTTGATTTCGGAAAAAACATAAAAGATGATCAGTATTCAAAGAAGCTACTTGACATTCTTTTGTATCTAAGAAATAATCAACTGTATCCTGAGGAATCATTTGCACAGAGTATAAAAACATGGTTTGAGAGGTAATTTTGATCTTTCTTTATATGTATGTTTTTATTTTAATACGTCTACCTAAAAGCAGCCACCTCCTTTTTTTGTTGTTTTTGAGAATTACTCTATTCAGATTATATTTCTTTCCTTCTCTCAGATTTGTTTGCCTTTAAAGACAAAATTTTGGGACGCCTGGGTGGCTCATTCTGTTAAACGTCTGCCTTCAGCTCAGGTCATGATCCCAGGGTCCTGGGATCGAGTCCCGCATCCGGCTCCTTGCTCAGCGGGGAGCCTACTTCTCCCTCTGCCTTCCACTCCCCCTGCTTGTGCTCTCTCGCTCTCTGGCAAATAAAATCCTTAAAATTTTTTTTAAAAATTAAAAAAAACAAAATTAAAGACAAAATTTTCTTTCTCTTTAAAAAAAGTAGTAGCATAAACAAGTTCTATTCTCCATCACATTAAAGGGAAATTATCAAGCACTTGTATGTTTTCATGTATTTTTTTTCTTTGTGGAGGGATCATCTGTTTTTTCCTGAGGTGTACGGTATGTACTTACAAGTAGCACTTGTGCCTGGAGTTCATAGTAAGAGAACTGGAGCTGTCTTTGGGTCGTATTAGTATTTAAGAAGTTCTTCTGAAACCTAGTGACTGGTATCTGTTTAATCTATGCATTTCATTAACTTGGATGATTAGAGCAGATGGGGGACCCTGATCAGACATGATATGCAAGTGTTAAAAATGGAAAATCTCATTGTTCCAGTTCATTTTGGATCTTTCCATCATCCAGCTGCTCTCTCCAAGGCTCTCTGCTTTCTCTTTACTTTCATTCATGTTAGTGGCTCTGTGCCTATTTATTGCTTCAGTCTTTTTTTTTTTTAAAGATTTTATTTATTTATTTGACAGAGAGAGAGACAGCAAGAGAGGGAACACAAGCAGGGGAAGTGGGAGAGGGAGAAGCAGACTCTCCACCGAGCAGGGAGCCCGATGCGGGGCTTGATCCCAGGACCCTGGGATCATGACCCGAGCCAAAGGCAGACGCTTAACGACTGAGCCACCCAGGTGCCCCTATTGCTTCAGTCTTTTATTCACTTATTTCTTCACCACTAATTTGTTTCAGGCTCTTTTCCTAAAAACTTACTCCTTTTCTCTTTTTCTCATTTCAATTATATATTCTCTTTACAGATCTTTGAAATAGCGACCATGCTTAATTATCTTATTTAACAAATTTAATGAATATTACTGGAGGGGCTAGGTTGTGAAAATCTTGAATGCGAGGGATTTTGGATTTTACTCTCTTACCTTGGAGTAGAGTTTTATTTATTTATTTATTTATTTATTTATTTATTTAAAAGATTTTATTTATTTGAGAGAGAGAGACACACAGTGAGAGAGGGAACACAAGCAGGGGGAGGGGGAGAGGGAGAAGCAGACTTCCCCACAGAGCAGGGAGCCCGATGCGAGGCTCGATCCCAGGACCCTGGGATCATGACGTGAGCCGAAGGCAGACGCTTAACGACTGAGCCACCCAGGTGCCCCTGGAGTAGAGTTTTAGAAAGGTAACTGCCAACACACACACACACACACACACACACACACACACAAAGGTTGGAGAGGGATTAAGATTGGAAATAAGATCTATTTGGAAGCAATTGTAGGTTTGAAAGAGAGATGATGAGATCTTGAGTTAAGAACTAGGGAAGGAGAGAAGGCAATTGAATCGATAGAAGCTGATAGTAGTCTGTGTAAGAGAAAGGAAAGGATAAGTTGATTGAGTAAAAAAATCAAGTAGTTTTGAATGCCTCCATTTGGCTAGGCCCTGTGGGTGTTTGGTGATATAAGATCTATTATGATGGCATTCACAACCTAATTGGGAATATAATACTTGACAGTTTATAGTAGTGCATAAGAAGATAGTATAAGGGAAGAAATTACTTTGGGGAGAAACAATCTCTGGTAGCTCTATGGAGAAGGTTAGAGTTGAGTTTGATTTATAGGTTACACTATTAATGTCAGCTACTGGGTCCCCTGTAGGCAGATTTAGATGTGAAGATGAAGATTGGATGACCAAAGGAGAAGTGAAGGGAAGAAGGAGGTCCACAGTAGGGTACCATTATCTCCTTAGCCCTGTCACAGTATATCACCCACTCTTCTAATTAAACCATTCTAGGGAAGTATTCTGAACTTTTCAGAGCTCTTGCCTGCTGAGTTTCTAAATAAAATGCCTATCTTTCGGTTCTGTAGGAATCTGACCTCCTAATGATCTGGTTTTGCAATCTTTTTTTTGTAGTGTTCCTGGAGAACAATGGAAAGGACAGTTCACAACAGTCAAGGAAAGGTAAAGGCCAGTATTTAATTTTTAACTTGCTTGATGTGGGTTTAGTAGGTTTTGTTGCTACTGATCGAAATTTTTTTAAGAATACATTAGAGATAGGATAATTAAGAGAGTACCCAAGAAAAAAAGCCATGTTTTGCATATGGAGAATTTTCAGTGCTCAAAATGTTTTTCCCATAAAGTGGTGTGAGCCTTGTGTGAAGTCTCAGAGATATTTTCCTCTACAGATTTGGGACCCAGTTGTGTTTTGAGAATGATTTTAAAAACTGGGTGCCCAGCAGTCTACTTTTTTGGGTTTTCTGGCACACCTAATGTGTGTTATTATCAGGTTTATAAAAAATTGGATGCATGTGATGATCACAAAGATTATAATGTTCTTTTTTTTCATTACTCTTCAATTTCCTCTTGTCCTAGGATTATTCAGTTTAGAAAAAGTTTTTTTCCAGGATACCATTTAACACAAACTATTGTAATTACAGCGGTCAGTGTTTGGGCTGTGGAAAAACCATGGAGTCTATTCACCTGAGTCCAGAAGAGTATGAATTTCTTAAGGGCAAAATCATGAGGGATGTGATAGATGGAGGTGATCAGTACAAAAAGACAACACCTCAGGTGAGTCCTGAACAGATTTTATTCCTTTTGTGGATTGCTTGTCTAGAATAGGAATTGGCAATTTTTTTCTGTAAAAGACCGAATAGCGAATATTTTAGGCTTTGTGGGCCATATGGTCTCTGCTGCAACTTTTCAACTCGAAATACAGTACATAAGTGAATGAGAATGGCTGTGATCCATTAAAACTATATTTATGAAAATACACTGTGTGCTGGATTTGGCCTGCTGGCTACAGTTGCCAACATTTAGGAGAGACTGCTTTAGAATTTAGCAGAATAATTGGGGTAGACTATCATCCATCTATTGGAGTCAGTCCTGTTTTATCTAGGCATAGGTCCACTTAA